GTAAGCGGACGTAAGGTTTAGTCGTGTCGTTAATCGTGCATGGATTGTGAACATTAATGTAGAAAGGTGGTCACTTCTCATTTTGCGAAAATTTCCGAGGGACAGAATTAATTATCGTGGGTACATATAAAGTATTTGTAATTGCACGTATACGCTGTAAGTGAATAAAATTCATTTATTTTTACAAAGAAATGAAGATAATTTTGACTATTGTTTTAGAACTATCATTATTTTATAAATTTTTAATAACTGTTAATAACTATTTCAACAGAAAAGAATTGTAAATACTTAATTAGTTTTTATTCGAATAGTATCCATCTCTGACGTACCCAGTTATCGACATAGAAATGATCCAATGATCGACATCCTTTATTTGTTTGAATATCTATTTATCAATTCGACTATGCCCATGACGATTACTGGTCCGTAAAATATTTAGATAATAACAATTACGGTTCTAATTTTGCTATTTGGATTTTGGATAAAAATTATTATTTTATTTACAAGATTTTTTGGCTCACCTAACCTCAGTAATCGACAGGTGTGGCGATTACTCGAACGACTATATGCTTCGATGAACCGGTGCTCGTCACGTAAAAAAAATATGAAATTTGTATGAAACAATTTGTAATGGTACTTATACGTAAAACCGCGATTTTGATTTAAATAAAACTTGAAGCTCAATTTATCTCATGCGAGTGGTCAGTATTCCAAAATTACACGAGATGTCAAATGATGTCTCTTAACCTTACAATGAAGCATTGGATCGAAATGACGCATAGGCTCGGTTACTGCACATATTCGATTTAATCTGTAGTGAATACATATACATACTTACGAATTTCATAATGTAACACAACATTGTACATACCTTGTTGGAACCAATAAAAATATCAACCAGCCGCACAATAAACAGAACATGTTAAAATATGTCTTTAATATGTAAACATGGCGATTACTGGTACCCTGACGATTAATGGGTCAACCACCTTAAACATAGTAGTAAAACATGATTATAAAAATAAAATAAATGAAGTTATTTAATAACGAGCGATTGAAAACATATGTGTTGCGGTACTTCGTGCGTTTTGAACTTATTATTTATTACAATCTTTCCTTTCCTATTTTACATTTCGACGTTTCGGCTCTTTTCGAGCCATCATCAGCGAATTGAGATTAACTTCTAACGGTAGTCGCAGTAGATTTCGGTTCAAGTTTGCAGCTAGATGTACATCTTCAGTTTGACGTTTAAAGATTGCAATCGTCACGTAGTTGTTCGACTAACAATAAGTGAGTGCCGCTGCATACTGTGACCGTACATTAATTAGTGAGAATTTCATTTTGTATCTCGCAACGTTATTCTTATTTGCTTTTCTGTAAATTACCCTAGTCAGATAATTTACAGCAGGATAATAGCTAATGATGGCTCAAAAAGAGCCGAAATGTCCGAATGTAAAATAGGAAAGGAAAGATTGTAATAAATACTATAAATAGTAAGTTCAAAATATACGAAGTACCGCGATACATATGCTCTCAATCGCCCGTTATTAAATAACTTGTAATTTATTTTTGAGAGCACAATTGCTATAGATTGATTATAAAAATAAAATTTTTTAGAGTGTTTTGAACATTATAGCTATATACGACTTGCATATCTTTAGACCCTATATCAAGAAAAAAGTCGAAATATTTGCAAGCAAATGTTACATATATTTTTTCGATATTTATTGGTTAAAAAAAAATTGACTGTGATGGATAAAATATTGGTCTAAGGACCCCTTAAGCGCACAGTGATTATCTATCAACGATTCTCAACATTTTTTATTAATTACAAAAAGCGTAAGAATACAGCATAGAGAATTGAAGATACAGTATAGTTCTCGCGAGTTTAGAGTTTTGGCCCACATGTCGGTACCGGCTTCATGCCATTGTTACGAAGTGGTGCCATCACGCAAGGTCTACCATCGGGACAAAGCAGTGCATCGTAACAGTTGCCTTGGCAGTTGTATGTATTCATCCTCCGCCACGACCGTCGTCGAGAGTACGACGGCGATGGCCATCAGCAGGGCGATAATTGATTTCATCCTTGATCGACTTTGGTCACCTGTGAGACTATGAAACATTATTGTGCAATACGATGACATTATAAAATAATAATACGAATCAAAAATGCGACAAATAAGTAAAATTGAAAAATCAGCTAATTAATAATTCAATTGAGGAACTGAGTAAAGATTGAAATGTAATAAAAACTTCACTTTTCAAATATTTTTTGTTACACGATACATAATTTTACAAATAAAATTCTATTCTGAATTTTGATATGAATTATTATTGGTAATATGAATATGAAATGGATGGTAGAACTCATTACAAGAAAAAGATCTTACAATTAAAGCTTTTCTTATAAAAATCGTTTGTATACTTTCTAAATTTTTTTTAGTGCAATTTCACTCTTAAGAATAAAAATTAAGTCAGTTTTGAAAAAGAGTGGCTCACAATTAATTTTCAATCTTGAAGAGTAAGATTTCACTCTTCAGTTTGAGAGTCATTCTATTTTAAAGAGTACTTATATTGGTACACAATATTGTAGAAATTACAATAAAATCTTTCGACTCCAAGAACTCGGGCAAATGAAGAAAGAGATGAATTTCCTTTCGCAGCTTCATGCAGCCGCGCTGTCCTCCCTGCGGTCCGAGGTGGCCGAGCTGAACTCGCGGCTAGTGGCGGCTACTCGCGCGCGGGAGACGGCCGAAACCGCGCTGATGCGGGCGGAGGTCCAGGCGGTCCGCGCCGAGCAACGAGCGGAACAGCAGGCGGTACGACACGAGGAACGGCTCACCGAGTTGCATTCCGTCATCGCCGAGCTCGGCAGACAACTGGAGCGGCATCGCGCTACCGTAATTGCCGAGGAGGACGAGTCCGGTAAGGGTTCACTTCGCGCTCCACCCCAAGCTCCGCTTATACGACGCACGCGGGAGAATATCGCGATTCCGCGTACCGATTTCGCTCAACGAGAAGAACGAGAGAGGGAGAGAATCTTGGCGAACCTTCGAGTAACGAAAGCCACGGCAATTCCCCGGCGGGCAATCAACGGATCTCCCCAGACTCCGACTATAACAACAGTAATAGCTCTCTCGGTGGCGCGCGCTCTCGATTCCTGCTCTTGGTCCCCCTTCTTGATACCGAGAAGAGCGATCTCTTAAGGGCTCGTGACGCACATACCATAGCATCACGTGCATTGTCGTGCGAAAGACGATCGATAAATAAGCTTATTCACTAAATAACCGGGATTGATGGAATAGATCGTTTCTTCGAACCGCAATTGTCAAGCGAAGTACCAAGTAAGTATTAATCGTCAGTGGTCACGGTCTGAGGAGATGGTCTGATTGATGATGCGCAGAAGTCGAGACAAGCAGGGATGCTGAGGGTTCCATCACCAATCCAGTAGAGGAGAGCGAGGGCGGCGGGGACATCCAGGGAGATGGCGATCGCACCTTGGGGGATGCCGACTCTAGCTGCTGCGAGGATCGACCGACAGAAGTAAAGAAAATTTTAAAAAAAACTTTAAAAATTTTAATCTTGAACGTAGAGAAGAAAATGGTATTATGACAGTGTGAGTAGCATAATGGCTCCTCTTTAAATCTTCGCTATTAGGCGAATTCTAGTGATTACTATGGAATTATTTGCTCAGTAGCTCCCCATGACTAATAAAGATACATTTTAACATTTAACTACACATACTTCCTCATTTTTTTTAAACTGAAGCGTATTATCATATGAATATATATTATATATGTATATATATT